TATTTTTTATGCATTAGAAATCATTACACATACGGTTTTCAATAACCCTACCATTTATAATAACCCTTAGAAATCTAGAAACTGAAGTAATAATAAATAGCAAATAAATAAAATATAATTCTTTGTAGTAATATAGCGTTTTTCAGCTAAAGATTTAAATAAAAAATAATTCTTTGTACTAATATAGCATTTTTCAGCTAAAGATCTTAAAGCATATTATTTCTAACTGTTTTGTTTAGCAATTTGTTTCTGTCCTCTCTCACACACACACACACACTTGTTTGTTATTGTAGGGCTTCCTCTGAGTACTCGATTGCATATACTGTTTTGTTGTTTGTTTTTATTGTAGGGTTGCTTGTGAGTACCATCTTGCATTTGTTATTGTAGGGTGCCAGGAGCATTGGGTCACATACAAAGGATTTCTAAAATTAAAGACTGATCGGTCTTAAGAATTTTGTCCTTTTGAGGCAGGCCCTGTGTCCTTGCTTCATGGCCTTTTTCTCATGCGTGGGGTGCTTAAAACTCTAATTTCATACCAGTCACTGAATATTTCCTCTTGAGGTCAACAGCAAAAATCCTCAGTTCAAAGGAGGCAAGGATGAGGCCCCTCACTGTAGAGTACATTGTGCAGAAGTAATGAAGTACATGCGCAATCCTTTAAACAGCTGAGCTCCTTCAACTCCTACTACTTCAGTTGGACTTGAGGGTGCTCAACAATTTGCAGGATTGAATCTCATAAACCAGATATTATAATCTCAGCACTCCTAAAATTCCCATTGGTTTCACGACCTATGTTGGGCCTGATCTTGTAAGGTGCTGAGCACCTCCTGAGGATGCTGAGTGCTTTCAAGGGTCATTGATCTCGGCGGTAACTGAGTCCTCAGCATTTAGCAAGATTGGGCCCATAGTGGTAGTGATCCAATTTCATCCTTGGGCTAGCACAGGAACTGGTGCAGAGGGAGGGGGAAGGCAGCTTAGTCCCTGGTTCAGGCTAAGGCAGTCTGAGTGCTGCCCTAAATTGTTCCCCTGTTTCACCAGCCCCTATGAGCTATTGCAGGGGTGCAGAATGGCCAAACCACAGGACTGCCCTGGCCACACCTCGTCCCTTCTCCAAACTGCCCACGCTGCATCTCCACCTCCAGTCAGCCCTGAAATGCTCTTTCTGCCAGGGCTTCTGTGTTGACACTGCAGATTACAGATCCAGCTCTGCGTTTGGCATAAAGGCCCCCACAATCCCACAATCAGATGGGGAAGGGCTTTCATCTGTCCTATATCTCCTTTACGCTGGCCTAGCTGCCGCAAAGGAGCCACAGGGCAATGAAGAATCAGACCCAGAATCTCTATTACTACAATGGATTCATATGAATTCTCAGTTTCTACCTGTCTGTTTTAACAGCCAGTGATCTCTTTCAAAGCTACCGGGACAAGAGCATTGCTTTTGACTCCCGTCACATGGTTCTATAGGGAGACTGGAGCCAAGGATAGTTGTTGCTGTTCAACTTTACTTGTAATAGCCATTGCCTGATGCAGCCAACATCATTTGTCACTAATGACGTCAATGCTGGTTATGAGAAAGTCAACAGCTACTTTGCAAAAGAATTTAGCAGCAGGAATTTTTCTTCTGGACTGTGAAAGCTACAGCCTGACAGGACCTAAACAAGGAAAATATCTTCAAAAGAGAAAAGCCACAGTCACAAGAAAGCCAATACAGACAGCATTCGTCTATATTTTAACCAGTGTTTCCGACTATAAAATGAAAACAAACAGAACCATGTTAAATGCATTTTTTTAAACTCACGCTCATGATCACAATTACAATCAACTTATTCATAAGTAAAATCCATTTGGTCTAAACATTCAGCCTCAAAAGTGAATTCATAGAAATCCTAGGAAACACATTTTTAATAATAGTTGTCTGATATTCTGGGAAGGAATATGCCTACCTGGTTTGAGCACGGGTCTGGGTGACAGGACTCCTGGGTTCCATTTCTACCTCGCTGCATCTCATTTAAGAAGTCAGATAGGCTAAATTTACAAAAGTGGCCACCGATTTTGAGTTCTTTCATTTGTTGGTGGAAGATACCCAATCTAAGACCCTCAAATGGAGGCCTGAAAAATTAGAAGCCACTTTTTTGCTGGAAAGCTCTCTATCAGCAGCCCCGTTCGTAAAGATCATATCTGTTAGATCCAAATTGTGTAGCTTGTATTCATCTCTACCATTAAGCCCATCTCTAGTATTATACAACATTACAGGAAACTCTTATTTGATATTTTTACTTCCAGAGTAAAAAAAAGAGTTTGTCAGGGAGATGCCACAGTTAAACCTTTTGGATTAGAAAATGAGTTCTTGTATGACCAGTTCAGTGAAATTTACAGTGACAAATTCTGTTCTCAGATAAATTGATGGCAAGACATTTAAAATGGCCTGAAGTTCAGGGGTGGCGCACCAACAGCTCCTCTGGAGTTCAGTGAGCTTTGTGGATGCTCAGCATTTCTGAAAATGAAGCCATTGTTGTTGCCAAAAGGACTGGGACTGGATTCTGAGAACTGGTTTATTCATCCTGTCTATCTTCAAAGATTAAGTTTTTCTTCCCCTCTTTTTAATGTGTGATTGCTATAGACGATTTTCAGGTCTGTAGTATAGTTTTCACTCTTTTTTGCCTGGGAAATGGCCAAGTCCATTCAAGTTTTAACCTTGAGCACAAAGGTAGATATGGTTCATTTGCGTGTAGGTTGTTCTCAGTAGCATAATGGCTTCAGGGCCACCATTCGTTTGTAAATGGAAGAGGTTAAAACAATCTTCCGTCACAACGAAGTTATAAGGAAGAAAGGCTACATTAGATTATGTGTTACTGGGGACATTTCAAACACACAGCCATTTTAACTAGTGCGTAATAAGAGCAAAGGTGATGGAAACTAAAAAGCTTGCCTTGTGCTATGTGCTGTCAATCTTTGTGATGCTAGCCCTCCAGTGTACCAGTGGGCTGCCGCCATCCTTTCACATTCCACTCAAATCACTCCAGCATTTAGGAATCTTTGTATTGCCAGCAGCACAGCAGATGCATTTTACCTGAAGGTAGCTGGTCACTACAGGCTATGACCCATCCATAATATTCCTGCTATCCGTTGTGCCAGGGGGCCGGCTAGGGCTGGAATTTATCCAGCACCTGAAGGGTGCAATGGCTTCAGTGCATCTCGCAAACCCTGCTCTGCACCTGTACTCTAGCTGCAAGAGTTTTCTGAAAGCTAGGGAGCAAGGTGCATAGCAGGTAATACAGGCTTCTGAGAGGCTAATTCAGATTAGTGCCCCAGAGGCAGAGGGTGGGTCCCCTTGTATATGCCCTGGAAACTGCTGGAAGGGACTGAGAAAACAAATAGGCCAGGATAGAATCTGAGCTAGAGAGACACAGGTTAGACTGACAAATGAATAAAGGAATGGGGTAAATGGGTGACTAAGGATATGGATAAATTGGTAGTGTTAAGAATGAGATGTGTGGGTGGTAGGAACAAGGAAGGTAAGAAAGGGTTTGAAGGAGGAGGTAGAAAGAGAAAAGAAGGGCTGACAGAGAGAAAACAGTAGCATTGTCTCAGAGGGGTAAATCTCTCTCCTCTCCTGCCCTTTCTGAAGTGTCCCAATGCCTGTTCTGAAAGGGGGAACCCAGATTGCCTCTCAGAGGCAAGTTATGCCACATCCCCATGGACAGTGCCCCTGGCACTCCCACTGGTGCCCAGTCTTTCACTTTGAAAAACTGGTCAATCTGTGGGCAAGGAGGCACTGGGATGGCTCTGGTTACCTGCAGCCTCTCCATTTGCTTGGGCACAAGCAACCACTGTATAATTGGGACAATAATGAATGTGAAGTAACTTTGAGTATTATGTTTAAACTCTATTTCGCCATTATACTCCAGACCAAAATTCATAACTGCGAGGTCTGGGGAATAAAAGGCCAAAGTCTAGAAGTCAAGGAGAGATTTGCCCAATTGAGGACCATAGAAAGTCCTTTTGCTTATGTACTCTTTGAAATGGAAGCCAATCCTTCATACCTCTCAAATTTATTACAAATATCAGGACCCAGGCATCACCCCAGAGCAGAGAGAATCTCTGGCCAACAAGCTAAAAAAGACTCAAAGTAGGTTTCTGTTTTGCAAAGTGACTATCAACCTACACCTCCTTGCTCTGTGAAATGTGCATTCACAATCAGGTCTGCTGGTTTTACTGACTGAAATAAATCTGTATTACTTTTTACTCATGTTAGAATTGCAGAGCCAATACAGCTTGGGGAGAACGAGCTGCATTCTACTCTGGCTCAGTCCTGATTGCAGAATCTTTACTACTGGTAATACTTGAAGCAGAAAGAAGTGAGCTTGACTTTCCATTTTCAAAATGGATTTACAGGCTGATGAAGAGACAAGCCAGTGGGCTGGACCCTCAGTTGGGATAAATTTGCATAGTTCCACTGGAGTCAATAGAACAACATTGATATACACCAACTGAGGGTCTGGTCCATCTTCTTTTTACTTGTAAATGGAGTAGTTTTGAACAGAAACACACTGAGAGACAATAGTGATGGAACCTTACAATGCTATTTTTACAAATCACTTTGAAGAGTATCACAGAGTTTTAAAGAAGGACAACAAAAAGGCCCCAGGCGTGTAATTCACCACTACGTTATTCCTGTTTTACACCAGTCCAACATCTTTGATATCAATCAGTCACCAGTGAATCAGGCCCTATGCATTTAAATGGTTCAGACCCATCATTTTAAAGCAGCTATTTCGAAATCAGACATCTGAGCCCTTTTAAATTCCAGTCCAGAATGAATGGCAGTAGCCAATTGAAATAGAAACATGAAGCCATCTCAATACAAAGGGCTTTCTTCTGCTCCTAGGGAAAATTCCTATTAACCTCATTGGTACGGTTCCACATTAGGGCAAGTAGGAAAACGTTAATATGTCCTTGTCTTTAATGTAATCAATATGAGAAACAAAAAACAGAATATATTTAATAAATGCAATGTAGATTGTTTTATTTGACCTTCTGTTCACAAAATAATTTTATTATATGTATGAAAGCAGCATACAGGCAATAAAATTATGAAAACATTCACAATACATAAATAACACAGACCTGATGCAGGATGTATATATTTCATTAGACTTCTAATTTTTCTCTCAGTTTTCTTTTCCTGATAACACTTTTTGATAAAGGTTGTGAAGAGTTTCTCTGAAGGATATTTTGCTAACATTCCAAAAACAAATGGCTCTCTTGGAATGTGTCCGTATGGTAATGCCTGCCGATGACTGTTGCTAATGTTTACTGACTACTTTTGACATTCCAAAGGAAAAACGGCAGGAATTTTGATTTCAAAGTACAATGAAAAAGTAGCAGTTGTCAAAATAAACATTGGCAAATTTTACGGAGCTCACAAGACATCGGGAAATGGGGATTGAAGCTCCATACACATTTAGAAATGTCTTCATCCAAAATGGAAATGAGGCACTATTCATTATTCAATGTACTATTAACATATTTAAGACTAAAATTAATGTCATTCTAGTTTTCAAGGTAAAGCACTAAAGTACCTCACTTGTTAAGTTATTCTGGCTGTGACGCATTAGCAGACAGACAGCATGATTTTTGACTACTGGTGTTTCTGTAATAATACAGATGGTAACGAGATTTGTCATATTTACTACTATTATAATCAATTGTGTTTATTCAGAAAAGATATCCAAGACTTGAAATAAGAAAAGTCTGAGAAAGCTGTTTATCTTACATAAATACAAAACATTATATACTAATGATTGTTATATAAGAAGCTTCTCTTCTCAAATTGGATTCTTCTTAAGGTGGTATTCATATTTAAGGTATTTACAGATCCACAAACTGACATTCTAGCAAAGTCTTTGTAACATGAAACTTTTTAAAATAAATAGCAGCAATTCCTTTTATTTCTATAGGGGAAGAGCTTTCTCAACTTGTCAATCAGTCAACTCTGGTCCTATTTTTTTAAGCCATCCCACAAAAAATAAATAAATTCTACACAGCTTCAGCTTCATGAACTCCCCCATCTTTTGCTGTGCTTTTTATGGTTGCTTCTTCTTTATTTACTTCGTTGGCTACCCAGACTATCAGAGTGGGTTTTTTGTTTTGTGTTTAATGGTCATTATTAAAGTGCTGACTTGTTGACTGGTCAAAATTCAGTTGTGAGACCCTTGAAATATCCCATTATTTAGACATTTTAAATAAGTTAAATAAAGCTAGATCTGTTATAACATATGAAAAATATCCATTTAAAACAATAAATAAATAAAACCAGTATCAACATATTATCTCCCAAATCTTTAAAAATACCCATTCTCATTTGTAAGGCTCAGCTGTTTTTCAGAAATAATTTAAGAAGGCATCTACCTACCTTTTTAATCCCTCAAACTTTACTTAGAACCTGGTAGCACCCAGTAGTACTAGACATGGCAAATTAAATCCTCTCATTTTCTTCAAAGGTTAATTGTTAAGTTGTTAATGGGTTTTTTCTTGGCCCAATTTAAGATAGAAACCAGTTTCTATAAATACTTATAGAGCAGAGGAAATATTTTCTTTGACACTGCATTGTACCTAAATTTGTGTCTCTGTTTTATTCAGTATGAACAACACAGAAATACCGTTAGGTTTTCAATATCTTTTTTGTTTAAAATTTTATGTTTGATTTGAACACCCAGTAATCAAATCTGAACTTTGCATGACAGTATAATTCTCACTAGAGCTTGGTTTCTTACCAAAAAATCTTGTATATCTTTTTTGACTGTTAGATTTTGCTGGGCTAACTTCAGTGTTCATGTTTTATGTTGCCCATTCTGAGTGATGGGGTTGATCTTTTCCAAAGACACATCAGCTTCAAAATCCAAGATACCGGACAGTGCTGGAGACATTTTCTCCAAGGTCTTAGATAGTTCACCCTCTTCTTCCTTTTTCAGAAGTTCTTCTTCTGGGCAGATAATAGCATGTGGGATCAGATACACCAGGTTACACTCTTTTGGGCTAGACCCTCTGGGCTCATGATGGCTTGAAAAAACAACTGCCCCATTGTTGTTGATACTAACAGTCTCTATAGCATTGTTGGAAGTAGGGCAGAGTCTGTAGCATCCTAGCAGAGTTGAAAATGCCTTGCGGAAATCAGCATTGAAGGCATAAATGATGGGGTTCAGTGAGGAATTAGCCCATCCAAACCAAACAAAAACATCAAAGGTGGTGGAACTAATGCAAAAGGGTTCTGCTCCCTTGGATGGTGGGCTGGGCTCACAAAAGGGCACCATGCAGTTCAATATGAAAAAGGGTAACCAGCAGCATACAAACACCCCCATGATCACTGACAAAGTCTTTAAGACTTTTGTTTCTCTCTTGAAGGACATTTTGAAGGAGCTTTCTGGTTGTTGGCAATCCATGCTGTTTCCATTCCCTGTGGTGTTTTGGCAGTTCTTAGCATGCACTGCTGCTCTTTCCAAAGCTGAGATGCGTCTTATCTGTTTTTGAGCAATCCTGTATATCCTTGTATAGGTGACAATCATGATGGCCACTGGGATGTAAAAGCTAATTAGAGAAGAGGAGATGGCATACATCCTGTTTAGACTGGAATCACAGTTGTCCATAGTTATGCCTTGGAAACTGGCATTTAGCTCTAAAGAGCTTGTGGTTGCAGCCTTGTGCCAGTTCAGCTGCACAGGAATGAAGGAAATCAATACAGACAAGGTCCATGCCACGCTGATCATGATGAAAGCTGCCTTGGGGGTCATTTTCCTCTCGTACCTGAATGGACTAGAGATGGCCCAGTATCTGTCTACACTAATGACACAAAGGTTTAAGATTGAGGCCGTGGAGCACATAATATCAAATGCCACCCAGATGTTACAGAATGAACCAAAAGGCCAGAAACCAGCTATCTCAGCAACAGCTTTCCAAGGCATGACCAAGACTGCCACTAAAAGATCTGACACTGCCAAGGAGATTACAAAGAAGTTGGTCACCTTGGACCTCAGATGGCGAAATCTAATGACAGCTGCACACACCAATGTGTTCCCCAGAAGCGTGGAAAGTATCAGCAAAGAAAGGAAGCAACCTGTAAGGATCCGAAAGGAAGAGTCCCTTTCAACGAGCAACCCTTCCCCGTCCATTGTGGTGTCGTTCCAAGTCATAGCTTTTTCTGAGGGAAAATCATATCATGAAAATCATGATGACATCAACTCCTTTGCTTGCAGAGACTACAGATACATCAGGCGTCCATTAATTACTCATTGCCAGGCAGACCGAAGGTTTGTGTTATAGTCTCTTCACCCTTGCGTGGACCGCATACTCCTTAGGAATCACATCAAGAGGCATCAAAAGCAGTGTGGGAAGTAGCTGAAATTTACAAACACAGTCAACTCTGCACCGATTTTTTTTTTTTAGTAATCCCTTTCAAATTACATTGTACTGCTCAAGCACAAAATATCCCAATTAAAACAGGCCATCTGCATATGTCCTGTTTGAGTCCCCTACAAAAATACCCAACAGACAAGAGTGCAATCACTTTTCAAGCTCGCATATATTCCCACTTAAATAGGCTATTGATCCAGTGTTTCCAGTGTCCATTTGACTAGCCCTTCAGATCTACTGAAGCGTATTACATTAGGTGCTTTTGTTTCTAATTTAATTTCACAAACCTCTAACTGATGAGACGTTTTTTTTTCTCCCCTTTTCACCCTCAGTGCATTCCAGCTACAAAATACATTGATTCTCTGTTTATGGGAAGCTTCAGGGAGCAACTCCTCATTTTGTTCCACATTGTTTAGGTCTCACAGTCCTAGAAGCAAAGAAAATAAATTTACATTGTGTGTGTGTGTGTGTGTGTGTGTGTGTGTGTGTGTGTGTGTGTGTGTGTGTGTTTAAAGGCTTTCAGTAAAGAATGGCTTACTTTATTTATTTTTAATTAAATGAGAAAATCTGAATCCTACCTTTCACCTTTGATTTTCTGTTTGTCCTGGGATGAAAGTTTGTCTCTCCTTCTTATTTAGTATTTGAATTGCATAGCAAATCACATATACAAAACCAACAGAGAGGCACTGCATTGCATCAGGTGGGGAAAAAATAAAAGCCAATGGTTTAATCGGCAGGAATTAATTTTCAGATAAACAATAGGTCTGGTTTTCAAGCTCCTTCATAAAGATCTCTTGTTTAAAACTAGAGTCCTATAAGTGCATGACAGGCTGCTTCCATTCCACCCAGTCTTTGTGCTCAGCCTCCAAACTTTGTTAACCAGCTCAGTCCTGGCTAAACGGTCATCACCCAAGTCACACTTTGTACATCCCATTGAAGTGGCACATCAGTACAAATCATCCCAAACAAAGGCACGGTATTTCCAACACTCTAGCAAGATCTGAGTGATGTTTCTGTCTTTCAGTCTTCGCTGGAAGAAGAAATAAGGGGAAGAGGAGGAAGAAATGGGAAAGACCTGAGCGGAGCTCCCTTCAGCCACTGATGTAGCTTTCAGGCCGGTGGCTACCATACGTTGTGGGAGTGTGTTACTATTCCTGTGGGAAAGAGTTTACTCTGACACTTTGCTGACAAGCTAGTTCTTCATAATCATCAAGGAATAATCCTCTTTCCAACTGCTGCTCCTCACAGTTGCATTCCAGGGATCAGGTCCAACAGCAACATGCCTTTCCCTTTACACAAAGCCCAGGTGCAGCAGGCTCTTCAGGATCTCCTGCACCCTGCCCTGGGATTTACATCTCCAGTCCCAGGGACTTTCCCTCCGTCTTGCTGAGTGGGGGACCCTGATAGCAAAGACTTCCTTCTGCCTGGGGTATCGGGTGGCAACATTGCCTCTCCAGGAAGTGTCTGTTTTACTTGGGTCTCCTTCCTAAAGCATTAAGAAAGGGAAAAGACAGACATGGGACTATGCAATGGCCAAACGCCGCAGCAGCCCCCCAGTCACTCCCTCTGGCATCCAAGGAGTGATTCCATAAAGAAGCATTTCCAGAGCATCCCACAGGACTTCCTCCTGTCTCATTGTCCCTGATCATTATGTAGCTTAGTAGGCTATATACTGCACACTCAAGCCACACACACAGAGGGAGACACAAAAAGGGTAATAAATGCCAACACCCTGGCGTTTGATTGAGCAAAGGGTATTAATTTCAGCTGTCCTAAATGACATTCATCTCAGTGGCACACGGGGTGACACAGAGTATTTCACCATTTAAAACTAGATAAGGTTAATTAATTGACATGAAAAGTAAGCAGATGCAATTAACTTGTCCTCTTTGAAATATTCTAAAAAATGTAAATGACAACACCCATGTGCACACACATACATTCACTGTGCAAGTAAAGATTATACACAAACACTAATGCTCAGCAACCCATAATCAGACACAAAACACACACACACCAAGCACTGAAGAGTTTCAAAAAAACTAGAAAACTCCCAAACAAATTAAACAGCCACAAAAATGCACAGACACACTAAACACAAACAAATCACACACACATTTACACAGACTAACAAAAGACACAACACACACACCTGGACTTGACACAAAGACCTAGTCAAACTCTTTCCCCTGTGTCATGTACTCACCAACATAGGGGAGAAGTCATTTATCCCACAGGCTGGCTGTTATGGCTTGCAGATGAGGCAGGGATCCCAGCCGAAAGGACACTCGCCTCATCTTTCCCTGCTGGTTTATTTCTCGTTTCTTTCCCACCTCGCGGTTTTCACTCCACATCCACACACTCTTTGACGTTCATTGTTCACCACATTCCAGGGGTGCAGCAAGTCAGTGGGAGCCTGGCTCCCCCTGCTGGATGAACCCAGGTTTCTTTTCCACACATTATTTGACAGCACCTTGTGTGTGGGCGAAGTGATGGGTGGAATAGAAAAGGAGAACAAGGGAGGATGGTGATTTCTCCCTTGGCTCCCAGTTCCTTATAGCATAGGAGGGATTTATGTAAGAGGAGCCTTAGGCAGCCAAGCAAAGTAGGAAAGATTAAGACCACCATGCAGGGCACCTTCCCTAAAGGAAAGTGAATTCCTTTTGCTAGCTCTACGCAGCTGAAGACTGGGTTACAGAACAGACAGAAAATGGCACACATCTTCCACAGTAAATTGGAGGCTCAGACCAGTCTTTTGAACTTTCTGGCCAAAATTCCCCCTTCCCCTCAAAAAACACCGTCAAAATACAAGGGAGGAAGTTTCACCATTTCACCCCAGAAACAACAGGCGCAAACACATACTTAGGAGGAAAGTGAATCATGGAATCAACATGGAGTTTTAGGTTAACACACACACACACACACACACTTTACCATTTTAAATCAATCTTAATCAAATCATAGAATTAAATCTTTCCACTCCCCTCTTGACAGCTCTGCTATTGACTTGCAAATTGTGCCCTGCCCTGTGGGTTACTGATGCACTGAATGCTGCCCACAGAGACTGCTTGCTAGCCAAGCTGGCATCTGGAGAGAAGGGGAGCAGCAAAAATACTGCTTCCCAAGCTACCACAAAATGCTGCGTCTGACTCTTCTTAAGAGGCTCAGCCTTTTTGCCTGCTATTGCTGAAAATGAGAAACTACAGCAAGGTGCTGTGTCTCACACCAGTGCCTCTACCTGGCCAAGGTGGCACACCAGGCAGTCCTCCACCCATGGCTGTGCTAGGCACGGTTCATACCTACAGGAAGGCAGTCCTTGCTCTGAAAAGTTTAAAATCTGGCTAGACAAGTCAGACAAAGGGTGGGAGAACATTAGCATTAATTCTCCCCATTTTACAGATCCCATCGACAGAAAGATGAAGCGACTTGCCAAAGTCACGCAGGAAAATTCTGGCAGAGTACAAATTAACCCCGGATCTCCTGACTTGCAGTCCAGTGTTTTACGCATAAGGAACATCTTTCCTCAAGCTGCAGAGTTTTTCCAAAAACTTGAGTTTTGGTCATTTGGCTTTATGTCTGTTTTAAAAATCCAAAGGACTCCATTTTCTGTAGTGCGAAAATCTGCTGTTTTCCAACCACATTTTTGTCTTTGCAAAAGTTTCCAGGTGAACCCTTGGAGCCACAAACTCAACTCAGTATTATGAGGCAGAGTTCTGGCTAGGAGCAAAAGAGAGTTAGGGCTAGAAATGCCCTTTTTCCCATGATGCATTTGAGCTCAGCTCTGGTCTATGCAATGAAAGAAGGTAAAAATGCTGCTTTGCATGTAAATCTCCATTGTACAAAAACCTTACTCCTCTGAAGTCAGTAAATGAAGATATAAGACATCATAGACAATTCGGGGAGGGAGTTAGTCTCAAAAAAGAACAAATCACTGAGCTGCCAAGCACTATCAAAGACAATGTCCTAGGGTTTATCATTAGTAAAGTTGGTTTTATGCCAGCTATAATTTTTCATAATGTCAGTTATAGCAGATAACATGAAACTAACCTTGACTAACTAACTGAAATGCTTGTATTTGCCTTTCTCTTTCTTTCCTTTTTTCTTTCTTTCTTTCTTCTTCTTCGTCTTTTTGAAATTGCTTCTTAGCAAGTTCTCATTCCCACATCTTATTATCCTGTCCTTTAACCATCATCCTTGAAGGAAGGAGTAAAAAATAGACAAGAAAATAAATACTGTAGTGTTTGGTAATCGAGGTTGGCAGTCACTCTAACAAAATTCTTTGTACATTTTCTCTTTTTTTCTCTCTTAAAATATATTTAATCTTTTTTCAAAACACAAAAGTAGAGCATTTATTTAGCCTTCAAAACTCTCCAAATTCCTACTCCCATCTTGCAACAGAGGCCATTGGACAGCCTGCCCGATATAGGGAATCGTGGCTGCATATAGGAACTTAGAGCAAGGTTCTGAATTCACTTCCACTGGTGTAAATCTGAGTAACTCCTCCAGGTGGACTTTTCATCACTGTCATCATTCAGCCCTAGAATATTCTAGGAGAAGCCAGTATAACCCAAGGTTGGCTATAAACTGGTATCTCCTTTGATCCAAAATAGTTTAGATGATCTTCCAGGGTTTGGGGGAGAGGATGAGGATATGTTCCTACAGAGGGGAAAGGTTCTGTTTTGTTTCTTTAATTTATTGGTTGGCTGAGTTAATTCAGTATTTTTGTATGATTATTTTTTGTTGCTGGATGGTATTCATTTGGAACTATACATTTAATCAATTGTTATGAAGCCTAAAGCTGTTTGTATGGGTGGTATTTTTGAAAAAATTAGTTAAAGCTAGAATAATAAGCCTGTGAACCTCCTAGAACCACTGAAGATGTGACATTCTCTGCTTGGTTAGTGATTCAGTGGTTGGTTTCAGAAGCCAGAACTGGTATGGATTTCAGTTCTGGAAATTGTCTCCCCAACCTCTAGCATAAACTTAAATGTTCTCCAGTGGCAAATCTGTGGATGAAGACTGTGTTTGGTTCAAGAGAGGCTTGGATGGAGTAACAAAGCCCTGTAAATATCGAGGCAGGTTTTCAAATCTAGCATTTTATACTGTGAGCCCTGTGGTACTCATACATCACTGCAGATAATTTGCAGGCTTTTAAAACCTGTATGATTTAATAGTGTTTTAACCAGGTGAGTAATAAAATGAAAGCCATTAAAACCCCAGTATTATTAAAGTGAATTTAGTGCTGGTGTAAGGTGCCAGACTGACACAACCTTGGAAATCATTTACCCACAACAGAAGCTGGACTCATCTCCCCACTCATGTGCCTTTAACCTGTCATGGAGGGATTAGCTCTCTTCCAGGTCAGGACCTGACTGAAACAACCAGCTAGGGAGCAGTTATAATGGTGTTTCATGAGTTTCAGGAACAAGACCAGCGATCATCCCATTCCCATGTCACTTAAGCTACCAAACAGCTGTTTGGCTAGTTAATGTCTTTAAATCACTATTGACCTATGCCAGCATCAAACCAGTGCCCAAGAGTTGAAATCCTTTTTAGCACCATTACCAATCACCTCAGACAAACACAGCTCCCACAAACTCCTGTTGAAGTAATAAAGCGCATGAAGGGTTAAATATACAGGTCCCTGACTATATTGTGTAGCACCTTGGCACAAATGGTTTTAATCCACAAGGTCTTTGGAAAACTGAGTCAGAATTGAATGAGGTGTGAATTTTTCATCCAGAGATAAATATGCTCCTATCTTCAAAATTGCACACATACTAAAGCTGGGAGAAAGGCAGCTCATTTACAAAAATTGTTTACAGTGTGTGGCTAAATATTGTGCTCTTTTCACTCTGGGAATGAGGCCATGTGCATGGAATTTATCAGACATGAAATCAGCATGGGAATGTTAGCAGAGATAAACTCTAAACAAGTTTCCAAGTTTCCAAATAACTGTTATATTAATAAGCTAAAACAACATAAGTCTTAGCGTTGCCTACTTGGAAATCAGTGGTTGTTGGACATTGAACAAAAAACCTCCTTAAAGATCCAGGAGCCACATCAGTTAAATTGATATTATCAGAGTCAGGCACCTCCAAAGGAAAAAGATGTGGAGTGGGAGGAAGTGCATGATGACAAATCATAGATATTATACAAAGGTGATAGACAGTTCTATTAATTACTTTGTACTATAAAGCCTCTTGCATCCAGGGATGGCAAAATAATTCACAAACAACTAAGACACAATATCCCAGTGAGGCTGGTGTTATGGCTGGTCTACAGATGTTTAACTAGATGCACAGAGAGGTTAAGCTCAAATTTTCAAAAGTGGTAAATTTTGGGTGCCTCTGTTTTTAGGTGGCCCAGCGTTAAATAGGTAAGGCTGGATCTTCATAAGTGCCCAGTAACCTCAGCTCCCACTGAAAAACGAGAATGGTGGGTGTGGAATCTGGCCACTTTAAAGTAAATGCCCACAGCTTTCATGTCTAAAAATGGGCACTCAAAAATAGAAAGTTTATGAAAGTTTGAGCCTAAATGACTTGCCCAGGGCAACTCAGTATGTCAGTGACAGAGCTGAGAATTTAATCCCGCAGTCTGGCTCTAATCGATAAACAATACTCCAACCTAGTTGAACTTACACTGGGAAACTCTGCATCACTTTATTAAAGGAGCTTACTTCATTTGGAGATTTAGATACCAGATTTTTCAAATCTTGTCATCTTTGTTTGCATGATTTTGCCTACACAGCCAAAAGGATCTACAATCGCACATAGAAGTGACAGGGAGTGAGCGATAGCTGATGCTCAGAGTCCGAAGTTAAAGTTCTTTTCTTCTCATTCTCAGGAATGATTGCTGATCTCTGAAAGGATTCATTGAATATAAACCACCAAGGATCCCTTTGAAATGTAGCTCACAGTGCTTTATAACAAATTGATTCTCTTCTGAGATCAGCAAGCTGAACAAAAGCACTCGAGAGAGAGGGAGAAACAATAGAACTTATACTTTGGGCTCTGAGCAGCAGATGTCACCAAAACAATTCCCTATCCCTCCAGCCCAGGGGAGCCCTGTAGGCTGTAAACAGCCTAAATAGATATGAAGAGAATGATGCTATTTAACCTGCTGGTCCTATACAGTCACCGTTTACTTTTTTCATTAGATTTCGCCCATTCCCCAGCTCCACAGAAAGAAAAGTACTTCTCCATAAGCACACTAAAACTAAGCTCAAACCTGCTTCATACATTCAGTCGAATCAGAGTGGGGCTACACCACACTGGGAATGATCCACATAGGGAATTCTGAAACTCCTCAAGGATCACTTCATGGAGTTTCCATGCTATTGGTCCACAGCTGGACAATAGGCTCAGTTTGCCTCCTCCCCCAGGGAATGAAGATGTGGTTCAGCCCTCAAAAATCACTGGCTTTCCAGAGATGTTAAGGCCCTG